TATATATATATATATGTTAAGCAAAGAATAATTTAGGTTAATTTAATCATGACATTCATAACGGATGTATCATCAGCCTCCACTCATAGAATAGAATTACTCTATGCGTCCATTATGAAGTAAGCGCCTATATTTAAAAAATCCAAAATCAACATTTTAATAGATACATTGTTTAAAGGAAAAATGGATGCTGGTATGCTAGTTGAAACTGTATACCTATACTGCATATATGCACATGTATACATCAATGCATAATATTTTAATAATTTAGTATCACGAGAGGGTATCCACCTGAGTAAATCGGAAATAGTGTGTTTGCGCAATATATATTATATGTTAGATATTATTATTATTGTATTTATCCTCTTTTTTCACACCTATATTTTGTTTATTGTTGTTTGTTCTCGAAATGGTTGAATGCAAAACAATAAGTACGCACGTTGTATTACATTCTATATTTCCTCTTCTTCACAAATATTTATAATAATATGATATAATATAAATTCGAATTCACAACAATATTTTAAATGTATCTGTAAGAATGTTTTAAAACGACCCCATAATATTGTATTAGATTTCTACGCGTATAAATGTTACTGTCTAGTGTCTATACTCTATAGTGTCTATAATGTCTTCGGGTAACAACAATGGATAATATTATCTATATTCATATGAACAATTAAATGTACACATTATCTACTTCAAAGCTTAAATGATTTAGAAACATGAATGCGTTTTGTTTATGTTGCGTGTTGTCCAGATTCCAAAGAGAGAGAGAAACAGTGTGCTGACTGCTGACATCCTCTCAACGATGAAGTTATAGCGTTTTACTTATACAAGCTTACGTGCTATTATTTCATTGTAATATAATATACTAAGAAACCAAAAATAAATATACTATACAAACTATAACGATAATTAAGTTATTGAAAATTGTGAATTATCATATTCGATATCAATATTGTACTCATTTTTAACAATCAGACATACATTCATACTTAAATAGGAATTCAAAATAAAGTTAAAACAGCTTTAATAATTAATAAATAATAACTAATCCATATTATATTTTGTTCTGAATTGTCTGTATAACAAAACTTAAAATAAAAATAATTCAGTCGTGTTTTGAGGTAACAACAATAATAATAATATTATTTGAAATATTTAATTTGCGTGTATTGTTGACTTTTTTTAGTCTACCAGTTCACCGAGAATGGATGATATTACAAAATTCGTTGACCATTTGGTTTAAGGCGAACGTCCGTCCGGAAACTGGATGCGTCCGCGTCGTGATCGTGTATGATTTGTGGTGTAGTCCGTGGACTTTTTCACTTTTTCTTACAGTCGTGCTGAAATTTAAATAGTTTAGCTTGAAGATAAAATAAGTGAAAAGTAAGGACTAAGTAAAAATTTAGGTCTAGGTGATTTGTTAAAAGTGGCTCAAATATTGAATGTAGCATGAATTAGTTTAGAATTATTATTTGTTATAATTTATTTTAAGTATAGTCACAATATATACTTACGTCACGTTTGTATCCACGAAAWCAATACGCATGCAAACAACAATTTTTGTCGCGAATTCGGCGTCGCTATGCATATGTAACAGCCCTTCGGTAATTAGTGCAAAGTCCACTTCGTCCGTAACCAAGTCTGTATCCAGTTTCAATGACCCCTGTATGCTGATCCCGCCGCTATACGAAGAACAGACCATTATAATTTATATTAAATGTGACAGTGCCCGTTAATAGTTTTTATGTAAAATAATAAAGTCAAATTTTTATCGGAACTAACTTTAGATTCTGAGCTGAGAGAAGAATGATCCGTTTCTATTGATTTTAAAATGATGTGTGTTGTATTTTTTATTTTTCGTGTTTATGTATTTAAAATGTAATCGTAAAATAATGTCCTTACCCGTTGTTATTTATGTTATAAAATTTAAAAGTTTCATCATAAACATTATTGTACGACTATGAGTTGTCTTTATCAATTTATCTGTCTATTTATTTTTATTTTATGTCTATATAGTAAACAATTTTTCGGTTTTCAAGTGTATTATGCGTTATAGTTTTTAAATCGTAAGACTGTTAAATTGTATTGGATAACTAATCAGGTTTTTATTTACAAATTACAATCGTTAGTTACAAAACGTGTCAATTGGCGAATATTGAAGATTGTATTGTAATAATAATACATTAATACTTCATACATTCAAACAACTATTATGACGTATTTTGGTACAAATTATGTAATATTGTTGAAATATTTAAAAAAAATGTAATCAGTATTCAGCGGCTATTCTTACTTTTTCTCGATCACCGATTGCGCGTTTT